AATAAATCTGACCATGGGGGTTAATAGAGAGAACTCACAAGTACTGAATTTTATTCTCAGTGTTCAATACTTTTTCTTTAACGGCAATAACGGTATCAATAGCTAACATTTTTTTTTTTTGAGACAGAGTCTCGCTTTGTTGCTCAGGCTAGAGTGAGTGCCATGGCGTCAGCCTAGCTCACAGCAACCTCAAACTCCTGGGCTCAAGCGATCCTTCTGTCTCAGCCTCCCAAGTAGCTGGGACTACAGGCATGTGCCACCATGCCCGGCTAATTTTTTTTTTTCTCTATATATTAGTTGGCCAATTAGTTTCTTTCTATTTATAGTAGAGACGGGGTCTCGCTCTTGCTCAGGCTGGTTTTGAACTCCTGACCTCGAGCAATCCGCCTGCCTCGGCCTCCCAGAGAGCTAGGATTACAGGCGTGAGCCACCGCGCCCGGCCTAATAGCTAACATTTTTTGAGCATTTACTATGCATGGACACTATGTAAATACATACGCTATGTATCTGCTAATATACATCCTTGGAACCATCCAAAAGGTAGGAATCATTTTCTTTCCAGTTTTACTAGTAACTGGACTGCAAAGAGGTCAAGAATTTGACCAAGGTCGCACAGCCAGGATATGGTGGATGGGAGAGACCAAGACAGACAGGCTTACTCTAGAACCCTTGTTCTTTCTCATGACCCTAATCTGTCTTCCTCCTTTGTTCATGATTTAAGCCATAGTTGCGAAATGTTATTTCTCCTGTAAAAAAGACTGAAGATGGCCAGGCATGGTGGCTCACGCCTGTAATCCTAGCACTCTGAGAGGCCGAGGCAGGTGGATTGCTCAAGGTCAGGAGTTTGAAACCAGCCTGAGCAAGAGCGAGACCCTGTCTCTACTATAAATAGAAAGAAATTAATTGGCCAGTGAATATATATAGAAAACATTAGCCGGGCATGGTGGCGCATGCCTGTAGTCCCAGCTACTCGGGAGGCTGAGGCAGGAGGATCGCTTGAGCCCAGGAATTTGAGGTTGCTGTGAGCTAGGCTGATGCCACCGCACTCACTCTAGCCTGGGCAACAAAGCAAGACTCAAAAAAAAAAAAAAAAAAAAGACTGAAGACATATTGTGACCACTTGTAAATTTTGTAGCTCTATTTGAATAATGTTTGTGCTGCTGTCTTCTTTTCTGATAACTACCCTCTACGCTCCTTCCATCCATATGGCCATAATAGGCCATAATAGGAACACCAACTCGACTGTCTAGACCACAGTTTATTGATCCATGAACGGACAGCTCACTCAAGATGAGCCACTGAGATCTCTTTCAGGCTCCACATGGTATGTTGAGGTTCCGGTTTTAGCTTGGCTATCTTCTTGAACAGTAAAAATGTAAACCTGGAAGCCACTGCAGTGGCCATTGCCTACCACACAGACCAGGTAAGAGAGAAAGCGCATCCGCAGTGAAAGAAGAATAAAGCAGACCTTCACAGAAAGGCAGAGAGGATTCCCTGGGTTCCTGTGGTAGACAGATCCCATAACTGGCACCGGAGCTCCACTTGCCTTCCACTCCCTTCACAGTATGTCTTTGAGCTCTTCCCATCAAGAGGTGGAGCCTAGTGTCCTATCGCTTGAATCTGGGCTGGACTTGTGACTTGGCAAAAGTGACAGAGTACCATTTTCCAGCCTGGATCACAAGAAGCCTTGGACACTATGCTTTTTATCTTTGATCCATCCTCTCCCTGAGAACATGCTTGGCTAGCTTGCTTGAGGGATAAGGAACATAGCTCTGGTGCTCAGTCGAGACCATCCTAACAAGCCAGGCCCTACCTGACCCTCCAGATGAGATCTTTCAAGCCTAGCCCAGATGAACAGAACTGCCCCAACAACCCACAGACTTGTGAAAAATAATAAATAGTTATTACTATAAAGGTAGTTTGTTATGCAGCATTGGCTGACTGAAACGGTTAGCTACAATGTTCCCATCCATAGCTCTGGAGGCCTGTATACATCCCAGCAATAAGGTTCCATGACTCACAATTGTCTTAAGAAAAATTTTCCACTTGTCTTAGGAGTCCTCATTTGAATTTCTGTTATTTGCAAACACAGAAACCCTAACCAATTATGGAGTCTGAGAAGAGCAAGGACAGCATCTTACTCTTATACACAGTCCCATCTTAAGTGCATAAGACTTGTGATGGGGTGGCTAGAGAATGCTGGGCAGAGGGAAGAAAGGTTGTGTTATTCAGCGTCTGGTCAAGAAAACAGAAACCAAGTTGAGCATTTCAATCGGAAGAAATTTAATTCAAGGAATTGGTTACAAAAGTACGGAAGGGAGAAAATAGAAAAGGAGGGTGGTGGAGGATGAAAAGTAAGAAGGGTGATACCCAAAGAATGGAGACTGCCAATGCTCCTGGGCTCGGGTTCACAAGCCTGTACTGGCATGGTGTTTTGGAGACACTATTGCAGTCAGCTCTGGATCTGCTGATGAGGTGTCACCCCAACCAGGGATGTAATGTTGGCAACACAGGTACCAAATACCAGCAGCAAATACCATTATTGCTGCTTGAGACACTCTCAGAAACTGGAGGCCACGGGTGACCCCTTCTCCCTGCCTTCTGCCTTCCAGTGTTCTGCCAGCGCCCATTAGCAGCCCTGCCCACAGCTGCTGGCATGGGAGAATGGGCACTACGGGGTGCAGACTCCCAGAGCTCTAGAACACCAACAGCGCAGAGAAGGGCAGGAGCAGGGAGAAAAGAACACAGAGGAATAAATGGCACAGGGGAGGTGGCAATGAACAAGAGAATTCGGAGGGTTGTTAAAGGATCCTCATGGCTGAGATAAGGTAAAAAGAAGCTGAGCTACCTCCCTTCAATAAACCCTGCAGAATTGGACAAGGAGCCTTAGTAGTGTTTAGTGCCAGCTGAAGGCCAGAGGGCGCCCTCCAATGTGTGTGGACCACACGGTGTCCCTGGGGCTTTGTGACAGCACTCTAGAGCAGGGGAGGGAAATCTGAAAATGACAAATTGAATTTTCCCCCAACCCAGTAAAAGGGAATTTGGAGAAGATTTAGTTTTATTTGGAGAAATAAGAGCAACCAGGATGTTCAAGTGGAACTTATATACCCTACAGCAGTGGTCCCCAACCTTTTTGGCACCAGGGACCAGTTTCATGGAAGACAATTTTTCCATGGACTGGTTGGGGAGGTGGGGATGGGCAGGAGGCGGAGCTCAAGGGGTCGTGTGCAGCTGGTTTCCTAACAAACTAGGGACTGGTAATGGGCCACGTGCTGGGGGTTGGGAACCGCAGCCCTGTAGAACGGTGGAGTTCCAAGAAGCCTCAGCATTCCATATAACATGAGATGGAAAAGAAAACTAGCAGATTTAGTGATGTGTCCAAGGCTTGCACAGTTGTTACAAAGCCAGGTGCACCGACTTCTGGATTCATCTTTCTAGTGGACCACACTGCCACCCCAAATTTTATAACAGTGTATTAGAAATAGATATACCACAGCTTTTCTCTGAATGCTTTAACATGTTTGTGGCTGGGTCTCTACTTTTGTGTTTTTGGTGGTGATGTTGACAGCTTATTTTTTGTAATTACACAACTAGTATATGGATCTATTCACATTACCACAACTTACAAATCTACACACACCTAAAGCATGAAAATGGGAAGTTCCCCTTTGCAATCCCTGCCTGTCGTCAAGACCCTCTGCAGAGAAACCAGAGTACAGAGCTGAGACTGCTAATTAAGGAACAAGAACCTTGAACTTGTACCTTTACTGAAACTTGGCCAATTGAAACCTGGATGGAGAAGATAAAAGCCTACAAAACTGTCAAAGGAGTGAAATAGTTTTTACTGTTTGTTTGTTTTGCAGTTATAGGATTTACTTTTAGGGCAGATTCTTTCTTTGATCTGAAAATCCCAAATAGGCCATTTAATGACAGAAGTATTAAGCTGATCCCTTATCTGAATAGGTGTCTGAAATGGTGAGCCCTCAAACTTGAATGTTAACAAAGAGATTCACATAGGAGGCTGCCCATACGAGTGAGCTAAGTGTTCTTACTACGCGGTAGGTATTATTCTCTTTCAGAGAAAGGTTTTGTTTTATAAGTTTGGCTTAAGATCTTGCTGTTCTAAAAATGTCACTGTTCTCAGGGACAGGTGTTTGTGTGTGTTTGCAGGCTTGCTGACAGGGTGTGGGAACGGAGCTCTGAGGAGCTGAAGGAGGCGTTTTCTTTAGCGTCGTGGCACATGGCGATGCTGCTTTGAGGCCCACAAGATATTTGGCAGCCTTCCAAGTACCATAAGATGGTCGGTAGCCCTCACACAGGCAAGAACACCATTAGCAATGGTGACGGTGAGGTTCCTTCAGGGGCCCTGATACTTGGTGGATGTGGACCCAGGGAGGCTAGTGCAGGGAGGAAAGAAGGCAGTGGGCATGGGCTGGGGATCAGAGCAGAAAGACTGCGCAGCAATTAGAAATAATCTGGGTTTTAACTATTAATAGAAGCCCAGGTTTTAATTACAGACTGGTAAAGCTTGCAGTATACCAGCTACAAATTACGTAAGTGTACACTAAAAAAAAAAAATCTTTGGAAGGATATATATACCAGAACTTATACACAGGTTGTCCCTGGATCATAGGATTGAGAGTGCTTGCAATTCTTTTTGTACTTTTGCCTTTATGTGTGCTCTAATTTCTTGTAGTATACATGTACTAGTTATATATTTTTTAAGTAATTGAAAATTATCCTAAAGGAGAGAAATAAAAGAATGTATAGTACATTTCCCTTAAGATCTACACCTGCTATGCTTTACACTTATGTGATTGTTCTTTAAGAGGATGTGAAAGCATTTTTTATTTTTTTGGAATAACATTAGTTCAAATATAATTTATATCCATTAGTAACCTGATTTTCTGGAGCAGCAGCATTTGGTAAAAAGTCACTATTGGAGCTTGGCTTATCTGTTCTTGGGGATAAAACGGTAGGGCTGTGATCGGAGAACTTACCCAGAGAAAATAGATCTTCAGGCACTGTAGTTATTGTGGGTCCTGTTTGCTTCACAGTCAACGTTTCGCCATGCTTCTGGAGTTTTGTAGAGCAGTCACAGGAGGAATAAAGAAGGCATCTGTGTCTCCCTGAGTGCTCTGATAGCAGAACATACATGCATTGAATCTTAAAGTTGGATCTTCTCATTTAACTATATGTAGGATGGCCACATATCTTGATTCACAAGAACAGTTCCCAATTTTAGATATTGTCAAGCATTTGTCTTGAAAACAAAAGTTTAAAAAGAGAGGCTTTACAGTTTAAAAGAGTGAATTGTATAATATGTGAAATATATTTCAATAAAGCTATTTTTTTAAAAAAAAGAGGGAGATAGAACACAGGGGTGACATAGTAGAACAGTAAAGAAAACACAGTGCCCCAAACTCAGTAATTATTTGTTAAATGAATGCACAATAGCCTGAATATAGAGGGACATTCGCTTGACCTATTTTTGTTTTAGGAAAGTAGTCTCCATGCACAAACTGTAAAGTTACAGTTGACTTGTAACATTATTATGAATACCATGAAAAAAATAGAAGTGAATTAGAGTTCTAGAAATGGAAGCAGAGATCAAGTTAGACGGCAATTGTTGAGGTATAAGAAGTATATATGTGGTAGCCAGACCCCAAGGTGCCCCCCCGTAACTCCTTCTTCCTGGTGTTCACACCCTATGGAATCCCCTCCCATATTATATTAATATTAGGATCGGTCTGTGGGATCTGTGGACTCATGGTTTGTCACTTCCAAGGCTAAGTCATAAAGCACACTATAGCTTCTACTCCGTTCCCTCTGCTCTCTCTGACAGCTGGGCGTGAGCTGGGCCGCGCGGCCTGGCGCGCACAGCCAGTGCCAGCTTCCTGCTTGGCCGGCCACTGTGGGCTCTGAAGCCTGCAGATGACAGCCCCACAGACAGCTCAGCCACAGCTTCATGAGACCCTGAGCCCAAACCACCCAGCTACGCCACTCTTGGATTCCTGACCATCAGACACTGTGTGATAAGAAATGTTTGTTGTCTTAAGCTGCTAAATTTTGGGGTAATTTGTTATGAAGCAATTGATAACTAATATAGTAGAGAATAGGAGAACTGACAAAAATGTACAGATCCCAGTCTTACATAACATTGCAGGCATGTCTAGAAAACATAAACCTGATAAAATTATATACGATCTGGTTTGCATTGGGACTCCCATCCTGTTAACTCCCCCTCTACAAAAGTTTTCAGTTTGCTTGACTGAAGATTTTTCTCTCCTTTGGAAACATATTTCTAATTGCATAATGAAAGTCCATAGAAAATTTAGATTTACTTTCAGTTGGTTATGATTTTTCTCTATAAATCTTAATATCTTATTCTTAAATATTAGAAATACTTTTCATATAATAACCATAAAATTCATTATGTCAGAAACATGATTTTAAGATCTCTTTTCATCATGGGATTTTCTTATTATGACTTTGACAATAGATAATTTTCCGGTTGAGTCAAACTAGAGTATCTTTGGAGGATGATATCTCCTTATGATGCACAGCTCAAAAACATGGGAAGGAGTTGCAATCCACTATCAGATAAAATGAACTCATTCTTATAAAGAGCTATTCTTATTAATAAATGAACCAAAAAGATTTCCCTTTTTTAAAAAACTTGTTTACCAGTGCCAGTTTATTGCAACAAATAACTCCAAATAAAAATGAATGTGGTGACCTGGCGCGGTGGCTCACGCCTGTAATCCCAGCACTTTGGGAGGCCAGGTGGGAGGATCGCTCCTGGTCAGGAGCTCAAAACCAGTCTGAACAAGAGCCAGATGCTGTCTCTACTAAAAATAGGAAGAAATTAATTGGCCAACTAAAAATATATGGAAAAAAATTAGCCAGGCATGATAGCGCATGCCTGTAGTCCCAGATACTAGGGAGGCTGAGGAGAAGGATTGCTTGAGCCCAGGAGTTGGAGGTTGCTGTGAGCTAGGCCGATGCCACAGCACTCTAGTCCAAGCAACAGAGTGAGCCTCTGTCTCAAAAAAAAAAAAAAAAAAAAAAAAAAGAATGTGGTGAGTAATGAGAATGTGATTGTATTTATAGGTTGGTTGTTTGCCCAATTCCTCTTTTCCTTCTGAGGAGGCCCTCCCTACTCTTCACATGGTTACAGGGTGGTAAGAATACTCACACTCACTGAACATCAGCCCTTGGCCACAGTTGATTGTGCCAAGGTGAACATCTGCTAAGACTGGAAATCTGGAATGATGAGTGGGTTGGGGAGAGGGGAAAGGGTTGGGATTGATTTTGTTTTTCTCAGAATGGCTGGACCGATGACATAGAAATTTCAAAGCTGTCTGTGGCCATGTTTTCATCCATGTAGTAAGAAGCAGAGGAAGACTGTTGCTTAACCCCTTCGGTGCGGCGCTCCCTGCGGGACGCCCGCCCGCCCGCCTGCCCGGCACGCACGGCACGCACGGCACGCACGGCACGCACGGCTCGCACGGCTCGCACGGCACGCACGGCACGCACGGCACGCACGGCACGCACGGAGTCTGCGCTGCGCATGGCCCGGCACGCGGCGTTTGCTCTCGTGTGACGAGGACAGCTGGAAGCACAGAGAGCTCGCTTCACTTCACAGGCAGCTTTCCTTGTAACGTAAATCAGAACAGGTAACACACACATATATGTTTTCATTGCGTTATTTTTAAATGCTCACAATTTTATTTTGATAAATGAAAAATTAGAAAAGTCACATCACGGCTGCCGGCTACGGTCGAGGCTTGGTTCATCTGTGGCCGTCGCTACAGCCCACGCTGTGCCTAAGTGGTTAAGAGGGAGGGAATGAGGCAGAAGTACAGAGCTAAGACGAGTGCGGTGGCTCAGGCCCATAATCCTAGTACTCTGGGAGGCTGAGGCAGGAGGATTGCTTGAGCCCAGGAGTTTGAGGTTGCTGTGAGCTACAGTGATGCCACTCCACGCTATCCAGGGCGACAGATTGAACATATATAAGAGTCAAGAGAATGTTTCCAGTTCCATCCCTGTTCTTATGTTCCTTAAGATACTCCTGTGTTTTTCTAATATGTTCTTTTTTTGTTAACCTGAAAAGGGTTTGTTTCTTTTGCTTGAAAATAAGAGTTCTATCGAATACAGAAATAATGTATTGATAACTAACACCAAAGGATTAATTAAAGACATAGGAAAGATTTAACTCTACAGTTACTCATTCAGCAGCAGAGGACTAGTGCATCCATCATGTGCCCAACATGAATGATATTGTAGGGAATATTAGGACAGTGTCATATGTATATGACACATGTTAATTTCTAAAACAGCAAGTTTGGGTAGGTTATGTACTATATGATCCCATTTTTGTTTTTAATTATTTTATATATAGCAATCAAAAAATTATAGCATCATGTGAACAAAAATGTCAACAGTGGTTCTCTCTGAATAATGGGATTGCAAAAAACTTCATTTCGTCCTTTTTTGAAAAATCTCTGTTATCGATAAGAAACTTGGATTTCTTGTGCATTAAGAACAAATAAAGTTTCACACCAAAAGGGAAATTAAAATAATATGTTGAGTAAGCAAAACTGAAAGATGTAAAATTTAGAAAAGACAGCTCATTGGCAGGTTACAATCACTTGAAACCAGATACTATCATGCTCATAAGAATGTGAAATAAGAAGGAAAATCTCCTGTAAAGGAACTATAGTTTGAATGTCACTGTTATACTCTGTGGATAAACAACTGGCTTATAACAAGTCATTGGATAAACAGTATGTAGTTTGTAAGGCTCACTCATTCTCTGTGGGCAGCTAGTGACTGTCTCAAATTATTCATACAGCAACTGTTTAATCCAAAGTTAAAGTCCAACAGATAACAAGCATCTCCTGGAGGGATGATGTATGCTAAAATCTAAGCACACTGTGATAAACGGTCACTTATAGTTAGAGCTGATGGTTGAAAAAGGACCAAAAAGAAAATATTCAGTGGAAAAGTAAAAAATGATCAGATTGCATATTGAAAACATTTTTACATAAACAGATTATCTAAACCATGATTTATTCAAGTATAAAAAATAAAATTCAAACTCACTCTAAATACCTGCTTGGCATCTCACCCCTTCTAACCTGTTTTATATCAAAAAAAACTTCAATCATAAGATGGGGTTGGCAGGATTTCAGAAATGCTTTTCAACAGTACAAAAACCTTTTTTTAGAAACTAGGATTAGCTTAACACAAATATGGGTATGTAAAAGTAGGCACTGAGTTATGCAATATTTATTCAAGTGGAATTCTTCCAATATTTTCTGGGAGAGAGGTACTTTTCAATAATGCCATTCTGTGGACCAACATCTTAAATAAAGTGCTTTATGAGTATGTCTTTTTTTTAAATGAGTGTCCTTAAGTATAAAAAATTACATCAATGTGAAAGCAAGAGATAAATATCAAATTTTCTATGTAATCCATGATTAATTTCAATGAAGTTTATTTGAAAATAAAATGAATTCAGGGGTTTTCATATAGAGGTTCTCTCCATTAGCTTTTTCCCATTTTTAAATCCTGAAAAAAATTGCTATACTCGGATCTACAAGCTTCTAACTTCTCTCCTTCAGTTCACTTCTAGCAAGCTTGTTACTTATCAAGATTGAACTATCTGCCTTTACATTCATCAGCACAGTGACCCATCTCTGTCACTGTCACCATCTCTCTTTGTCTGTTATCTACTTCCATCTTCAGCCTCTTTAGTCAGTTCTCTGGCCTAATGGTGGAATTGAGTGGCATGTTGTCCCTGCTCATCCACCACTACACAGAGTCCTAAAGTCTATTCCTGAGTGATCAGTAGCTGACTTTTCTTTTTCCTCTTGACTCCTGAAATCTGACCATTATCTGAAATGCAGTGTATAGATCATTGGTCATCTCTTTATAAAAAGTCTTCTTTAGAGAACTCATTCTCCCTTGAGATTTCAACTCTCACTTGATTCCTTGATCTTAGTCCCAACTGGGCATTACCATTAAGTTATGGCCTCTTCTAAAATACAGCCTATCATCTGGCCCTCAAAGATGATACTTGTTATTCTTCATTGTTTAATTACTAAGTCCTATCAATTCTTCCATCAATTCTATCTCTCAAATCCATGTCTTCATTTCCTTCTGCAACTGTTCTTAGGCTATGACATTGTGATCACATTAATTTTTCCCTGCCCTGTTCTGCCATTGGGTCTCTCAAAAAAAAGAGCTAGGCCAGGCTCGGTGACTCACACCTGTAATCCTAGCACTCTGGGAGGCCAAGGCGGGAAGATTGCTCGAGGTCAGGAGTTCAAAACCATCCTGAGCAAGAGCGAGACCCCATCTCTACTATAAATAGAAAGAAATTAATTGGCCAACTTATATATATAGAAAAAATTAGCCGGGCATGGTGGCACATGCCTGTAGTCCCAGCTACTTGGGAGGCTGAGGCAGGAGGATTGCTTGAGCCCAGGAGATTGAGGTTGCTGTGAGCTAGGCTGACGCCAGGCACTCACTCTAGCCTGGGTAACAAAGTGAGACTCTGTCTCAAAAAAAAAAAGAGCTAAGATATAGGCTTGCATACTGGCAGTTTATTTGGGCAGTGATCCCAAGAAGCATGATTGAGAGCCTGAGGGAGCGGGACAGAGAAGGAGGGAGGAGTACAAAGGTGCCTTATTGAATTGGCAACCACCATGGGTAACTGATGCTGGATCTCACTAGGATCCTATAAAGAACCTGATGAAATGCTTCTCGGAAAATCCACCTAAGAGATGAAAAGGGAAAATATTTATTTGTAACTTCCTTTCCCCCATTGATTCAAGATGATCCTCCTGGCAATACTTCCCCCGAACTTCCCAATTGCACGTTTGTGAGCCTGTGCAGTTCTGCTAGCCTCCACCATAGCATTAGAGACTTCTACAGGCACTGGTAGGCAAACATTTGGGGATTAGGTGAGTGCTGTCCAGTTGTGCCTACAGGATGCTGGTCCAAACCTGCTATAGCAGCTATTAGAGCAAGACATGGCACAAAGAGAACTTAAGTGGCTTATAAAAGACATATAATATACCTGTTATTTAATGTGTTGTATGTGTCTCTTGTCTCTTCCATAGGATTATAAATATCTCAGTGATATACATCCATTTGGTAGAATAAAAATATTTACTAAAGGAATAATTCACACTCAGTTTTCTCATGATATTAAAAGCTTAAATCTTTCCAGTTCTGTATTCTCAATAAATTGACTGATTTTATAGAATTTGTACCATCTATTAATATTTATCTCTCTGGCAAATTTTACCAACTACCACCATCAGCCCTCACTGGCTCTTCTCCCCAATATTGGTGTCAAAGCTCTCCCTTCCCGTCATTAAAGCTTATATTTGAATTGTTTTCTCATGATGGTACTGTGTTCCTATTATCTGGTTTTCCTTAAGACCACAGAACATCTGTGCAGGAAGTCTGACCAGTTTAGCAACCTAATCAGTGGCTAAAAAAATAAAGAAGGTAAGTAGACTATCTAAGGTTGGAACACTGGACTCATTATCACAGTCCAGCCAGCTAAGGTAAACTTACAGACTACGTTTTGAAATCTTCTACCTCTGGATCAAGATCAGATTGTTCCAGTAACTGAACATTGCTTTTCATTACATTTACTTATCTTTACATCCGACAGCTTAAATAGACATTATTTTGCATTCTTTTCTCTAATCCATTCCATCAAGATAGGTTGGAAAACTTCAGCAATTCATATTAAGTCCAAGTGAGACGATGACACTCAAACTATGTTTATGTCCTACATGCAAATAGTGTTTATTTTTATTGTGTTCTAAAAATGTGAAGGGGAAAATTCACCTTCTTCATCTGTTGGGTACAATATAACAGCCACAGAATTTATCAAGTTTTTAACTTACTCATCAGGGGTTTTCAAATGTTGAAGATAAGAGTTAGCAGAACTTCTCCTAAAGGAAATCTGGAGAGTTATTTTGACCTGAAATAAATGTCCTTAATGTTTTTAAAGGCACTAAGAGAAAAATTAGAGAAGCTGAAAAATATGAGAAGCTCATTTAACAAAATTCATTAAGCATCCAATTGTGGAAAAGTACTATAAGTCCTTGTTCATCACTTTAAAAAATGGTTTATTTTCCCACTTACACAAAATTAAATATACCCTCTGCAAAACAAACTAAAAAGGCGGAAAACATAGAACACCTGTAATTACACCAGTCAAAGAAACACTGTTCACTTCTGGTAGATGTCTCCATTGCTTCTTTGGTGGAATCCCCTCAAAAGTGCTTTTCATGGGTTAAAAAAATTAAAAAGAATCTTTATTCCGGTTGACTCCACATTTTCTTACTCTTTGTAAAATTCTATCTTACTCTTCATGGTATCAACCCTAAGAGCTGACATTATATGCTAATAAAAATGTTTAGGGGGATAGCTCATGAGCC